ATATTCCACGGTAAACTTAATATTTGGGTGGATTTCATTAAGGCGGTCATACAGTACATATGGTTAACTCATGTCGTTGCATTCAACAAACGTATCGACCATGTATCGGCAGTAATAGGTTATTTCATTGATAGCAGAACTGAGTCACGTCTGTTGCGGATAACCCATGAAGATATCGACAAAACTGAATCCTCGAGGTAAAGCCCTAGCAAACCCATCAATTGGTTAGTAATATTGGTTGTTAAATTTTAATTGGATATCTTTCCGTATGAAAACTTTGCTACTGACTACAAACCACCAGTGGTTAATTCGGAATGTGGAAGTTTATGGGTCAATGTGTGCTTACCTCTGAAAAAGTAGGATGGAAGTATATCCGTCTTAGTGGTGGTCCACTGGAAACATTTTGCTGCTGTTACAAAACCTTTCGAAGTAGTACAAATTCGCACTTATGACGATAACTCCAACTACCAGCCGAGAGATGTTTCCGAGATAATACGACCAGATGGAACATTTTGTCCCAGCCAGTATAGTTTATTAGACCATAGCATTTAGGCAAGCGCAACCAATAATTCAGGGTATCATGACGATATTATCATTCGGCCATTGGGTTTTGAGGGGAAAATAGTGCTACAGTAGCACACCTCTCTTGTATTCTGCTTCCCTCAGGGTCCCTGTTAATGTCAACGGTCACAGAATTAAGAAAAAGGCAAAAACAGCGAGGAAAATTTTCTTTTCGACGATTCATTATCATGAGCTGTACAATCGTAATTATAATTAACAAAGAAATCTTTAGACCAATCAGATACTGGTAAATTTTGTCCTTGGAAAATTGTATTACATAATGTCAGGTGTAAGAAGGGATGATTAATTGTAAGTTAGAAAGGAGACAGAAGTTGGCATGACGTAATAAGTGTGAGATAATGATTGATCAATAATCTCGTGCGAAATGGACAGGAACTAGTGGAAAGGCTATAAAGTGTTTTTGTATAAAATATGTATGAAAAGTAATGTTATTAATAAACAGTAATAGAGTGGTAATAAAATGTGGATGATGGGGACAATAATGATAATAAAAAGTATTAATAAAATAAAATAATAATAGTAATAATAGTGAACTTACATAATAAAGGAAAGAAGCAAAATTGTGGTGAGAACTTTACTCTGGCCATGGTAAGGCAAGAGGATGTATGTATCGCTTTTCGATGCAGAGGTCCGGTTTCAGATCTTGAATAGCTAATGCTTCAGCTATGTACAGATGGCGTCTGCGAAGTCCCTTTGTACGATATTGAGGGACTCTGTGTAACACTGTGAAGCATTCATGTGGGGGTGCTCGATGTCCAGAGATGATAAGGTGTCCGAGGATCGAGCTGTTGCTATTCTTCTTTTCTCCTCTGGCTAACGAAGCTGGGCAGTGTTCCAGAATACGTTTGTGGACTTGACGTTACGTACGGCCGATATACACTGCTTCACATGAGCAAGTAAATTGAATTGCCAGTGGCTATCAGTCCTCCGACAACAACAGAAGAAGTTAAAGTGCAACTGGGCTACTGAAAGCGATGGAGGCAGCACGACCTGACGAAAGATCAGATGTCCAACCAGAAAGTTTCAGTAAACGAGAAACTCTGAGAACGAACTAAACAAGAACCTTGTGATCAAAAAATATGCCAAAGACAATGGATATTGCTAGGACAAACGCTGAGGTGACAGTTCGCGTCAAGCCATCGCTTGAATGTCACACAAATGGGAAACGACGATTAGGGTTTGGGTCCGTAGGATGACGTGGAAAAGATCATGTGAAGAGGAGGTGACAGACTATGAATGGTCATAGGTCCAGCTAAAGAGGAGTATGGGGAACAGAATAAAATCGTGATGTTCCCAATGTTTCGATGAACAAGGATTCAGTAATCAACCTCTATCTCTCCGCCTACCTATATTACTTTTTGGAATTTTAACTATCACCTTATTGGGTGTCTGTATGTTAATGTATGCATTGCAATTGCTGAGCTTTTTTCTAAATTACTTATTTTCGTGGGATCAGTGATTCTTACCTTAGCTAAATGCTTATGTTCCGAAAATCTTACTACCAGCGATCTACTAGTCTGACTTGGGAAGTTGACTTAACTCATAGTCCTTTAACCTACAGAGCTTGTGCTACCTGAGTGAGTTTGTAGGTTCACTCTAATGCCACTCTAATTCCTGCTTTATTAAGAATCCTTTGTAGAGTCTCAGATGTCCCCTCCTTATATGGTACAATTGTAGATGCCTTATGTCATCTCTTATTTGTGTTATTATTATTATTATTATTGTTTCCTTTAATTCCTAGAGGAACATAGGGTTTCAGCCGTGCGTCTTCATTGCGTTTGGTTCTCTGCTAGAGTCTTCACCTGGCTCCAAATCTGCCCACACGTTTTCATCTCCTCTTTACATGACCTCCTCCAAGTCACCCTTGCACTGATGACCAACTCGCTACTTCCCTTTCGGGTTCCCCTCGAGCGATGGCTTGTCTAGTGATGTCACTTGATGGCTTCCTCAGAGTATGGCCAATCCATCTCCATTTCTTCCTGTCTATTTGTTTCACAATCAGTTCCTGCTCGGTTGGTTTGCTCCCAGAGATCCTTGTTGCTGATCTATTCTAGCCATCTGATCTTCAGTACTGAGCGAAGACATCTGTTAATGAAGGTCTGTAGTTTGTTTGAGATGCTCTTTATGACACGCCAAGTCTCTGTTCCGTATATTGAGTAGCACTGACTTCACATTGGAGTTGAAAATTCGGATCTTATTTTTGATGCTGATTGGTGTTGACCACCACATAGACTTAAGAGTAATGAAAGCTTGTCTTGCTTTTCCGATTCTTGCATTGATATCTTCGTCAGTTCCGCCTGTAGTTGAAACTATGCTTCCCAGGTAGGTAAAAGAGGTTGTTTCTTTCAGGTTCCTCCCATTCATGCTGATTGTTGTCAGTTGTTGCTGTTGCTGTTGATGGTGTTGCCCAGGAATCTTCATCACCTCTGTTTTATCTATGTTCACCTGAAGTCCTATCTTTGATGCTTCTTCTGCCAACTTGTTGCTTTTCGCTTGCATATCTTCCAGTTTGTGGGAAATCAGACATATATCATCGGCGAAGTCCAGATCCTCCAAGTATTTTGTGTGAGTCCATTTTATGCCTGTTTCCTGATTGCCCGCTGTTTGTCGCATTGTCCAATCTACTGCAATCAGGAAAATCTTTGGCGATAGTAGGCAGCCAGCTTGTCTTACTCCTGTCCTCACTTCGAAGGATTCCGTAAGTTTCTTGTTGTGGATTACTTGGCATGCAGCATTGTCGTACAGCTGTTGGATGAGATGTATAATTGTCGGTGGCACCCCGTAGTAGCAAAGTAGTTTCCAAATCACCTCTCGATCGATGCTTTCAAAGGCCTTTTCAAAGTCGATGAAGTTGTGATAGAGAGGTGTTATCATTACTAGTTACACAATTAGTTTTATTTAGCTTTTGTCCTTTTCCGACCTTCCTAATGAATTTAATAGGATAGTTATTTGATACCAACGCTTCTTCTATCTGTTTTATTTGATCATTTAGGTATTCTTTTGTACTACTTAGTGCTAATGCTCGGTTTGTTAGGCCCTTAACTAAGCCTAGCTTTAGATATGGACAAAGGATGAGATGAATTAAAGTCTAAATATCTATTAGCAGAATGCGCTGGTATTTTTTATAAACGCTAGTGTGCAGTTTACCTTCTTGTATTCGTTTTATTTTACAATCCAACATGATAGCTAATTCTCCTTGTTCATTTTCTGATTGAAATGTGAATTTTATTCTCTCTGCTAGTGAGTTTACATGTGCGTCAAGAAGCTAGAGATATGTTCTAAGGGAACTAAGCCCTAGTGCCCAATGTTTCACTCGAAACACAAAGGAATACTAATAATAATTAATAATATTGCAAATAATAATCCAAATCTTTTGGATTGGACACTGGTCAGTAACTAGTGCAATGTGCCTCGTCTACTTTGTTTGGTGCAGACTGAATTCTATCAGTCAAACTTGCAAGGTGACCACCATTCCACCAGGTGGCTCGTCATCACGATGCACTGTGCATCGTTGGTATTAGATGGTTGAAGGCAATCCGCACAAAGAAGTCTTAGACCTAGGTTTCGTGCTAGTTGGCAAATCATCAGCTTGAGTGATAGAATTCAGTCTGCAACAAAGATAGGACTATACATACACATAACACTAGTTACTGACAAGTGTCCAATCAAAAATATCCACTACAGTTTTACAGGAGGTCAATTGCAAGCCTGAATAGCTCAATAGTCGTAACATCTATGACCATACAGCACTGGGTGATGCGGGTTCAAATCTCAGAAGAGATATGAGTCCGTTCGAGGCTGCAGATACGCCTTGCTGATTATTAGTATTATTATTCCCCTGCGTTCCGAGTGGAACATTTGGGTTCAACAACACACCTCTACTTTGTTCTGTTTTCTACCGTCCTCTTCAGCTGGTTTGCCACACGATTGACCAAACTCTCTCATCTCTTCCTCACACGATGTCCTTCATGTCACCTTCTCACCTCTGACCCACTCATCGATTCTCACTCAAGCGATGGCCTGCTTGGGTGAGATGTCATTCGGCGGCCTCCTTAGAGTATGCCCTACGCATTTGTTGAGCAATCGAATCTCGCCTGTTTGTTTGTTTCCATCGCCAGAGTTTCTTGCTGCTAACTCTTATTGGCCGGCTGGCTGGCCATTTGATCTTCAGAATGGAGACAGCGAAGACGGCAACTGTTTTAATGAAAGTCTGTAAGCTTGATTAGTGCCAACTAACTCGAAACCTAGGTCCAAGGCTGCCTTCTTCCGATTCCCTCCAACCATCTAGAACCAAAAATCCACATCTTATTTATTGGGAAACATTTATTGACTTAATGAAGATACCAATAGATTTAAAAGAGTGATATCCTGCTAATTTTCTTATATTCTCCTCTGTTTCTCTTTCCTTTGTATTCAAGATCGCATACATGATTCGAATAGTTCACACAGGGATCCAGTGTACACATTATGGAACAAAACGTATACTGGTGGTAAGTTGTTTTTATTAAAATTTAAAGTTCTTCTCTTACACATGGATTATTTCACTTATATATTTGTGGTATTCATATTGGAAAGACCATTTTTTTACTTGCTTCCAGCAGCAATCTATATAAACAGGATTTATGTGCATTTTTATGATGTGTTTACGCGATGCAGAGCTTATGTGTGTATTGTTATTATTATTGTTTCTTTTAGTTCCTAGAGGAATACTGGGCTTCAACCACACGTCCCCATTGCGTTCGGTTCTCTGACAATGTTTTCACCTGTCTCCGCATCTGCCCACATGCTTTCATCTCCTCTTCATATGTCCTCCACCGTGTCACCTTCACACTGTTCGGGTTTCACTTGAGCAATGGCCTGTCTTGTGATGTCACTTGATGGTTTTCTTTCTCATGAGTATGACCAGTCTACCTCCATTTCTTCCTGCATATTTTTTGCATAGTTGGTTCCTGCTGAGTTGCCTCGTTCATTGTCAGAGATCACTGTTGCTTATCTTTCCTAGCCGGCCATCTGACAAGTGTTGGTGAAATTCCGTAGTTTGTTCGAAGTGCCCTACGTGACGCGGGGTTAATTCTCTGATCCGTAGAGTAAGTAGCACTGACTTCACATTGGAGTTGAAAATCCGGATCTTATTTTTCATGCTGAGTAGGGCTGTTGACCTCCACACAGACATGAGAGTTTGAGCATATGTGTGACCTTGGTCGAATCGAAGGCAACAGAGATGGTTTGGATGATTTGACAAGCATTTAATATAATGATTACAGATATGATAATAGCAACAGTCATTACATAACACTTGTTATGCAATTCATGTATTTCAGAGCTAAGTAGTACTTGAACTATATACATATACACTTGAGTTGTAAGTTTTATTTTTAATTTTTGAAAACAAAATTGCAAATAATTAGTTGATCAACTCTCAGCTTAAAAGTCAAGTGCTTTTCTTCACAAACACAATCACAATTATAATTATTTTGCAGGTATTGTTCTCATGCTTTTTTTTTCTCTCAATAATGAGGTTACTAAAGTTCAGTGAGATATTCTTAATGGAAGTAAACCACCAATTTTTGTTTTTTCTGCATTTGAATTTCACCAAAAACACCTGAGATGATTTCGAGATTATTTTGTATTATTATTAATATTCTCTTGGGTTTCGAGTGGAACATTGGGTTTCAACAAAACTCTGTCTCCACTTTGTTCTGTTTCGTGCTGTCCTCTTTAGGTTGGTCCACATTAGCTTTGGAGGACACACTTATCGTTCCCCATTGACATTCCACTCGATATCGAGGCGTACGATGTCATTTGATGGTCTCCTTAATGGCGTGTGCCTGATCCACCTCCATTTGTTCTGCACACTTTTGATTAGGCGGCTGTTGCTAATTCTTTCTGGCTATTTTTGGCCTTCAATATGGAGCAGAGACAGCCGCTGATAAAAGACGGCAGCTAGCTGTTGGAAATGCTTTCCGTGAGGATCAGTACAAGTTTCCTACCCATATGGAAGAACTAACTCACTTAATATCAGTGTTGGAGAACCGAATCTTGTTCTTTATGCTACCAAGTCCACAAGATTTACAAGCTGACTTTGGATTGATGAAGATCAGCCAGGATTTTCCGGTTCTAGTCTCGACATTTTCAACTTTTCCGACTGCCTGTGGTTGAAACGATGTAACCTAGATACGTGAAATAAGTAACCTATTCCAAATTTCTCTCGTTGATGGTGGTTGCTGCCGATTGCTGTTGTTCTTGTTGGCTAGTTGGTTATCTTCATCACTTCCGTCCTCTCCATATTCACTTGAAGTCCTGTCTTCACTGTGACCTCTTCTGCCAGTTTGTTGGATTTTGCCTGGAAGCCTCCGAGTTTGTGTGACACTAAACATAAATCATCTGCGATATCCAAATCTTCTATAGTCTTCTTATTGGCCCGGCGTATTCATGTCTCCTCACCGCCTGTGCACAGTCTGACGCATAATTCAGTCCATCACAATTAGGAATATCGTCCACAGGGGACGATAGGTAGCCTTATCATATTCGGTGACTTCTTTGTTGTGGACACGTGACATGTGCCAATGTCACATAGCGTTCGGATGAAGTCAATAAAGAGTTGGTGCACTGCACACTATAGCCTTGAATTAGTTTCCAAACTACTTCTCGGCCAAAGCCTTCGAAGGCCTTTTAGAATTCTCTGAAGTTTATTTCGTGACTCTTATTACTTATAATAATAATATTAATGCTGCTATCAATAATAAGGATGAAAAAGTGAGGCGATCTGTGATAACAGGAATAACGAAAACCAGCATGATTAAACAAACAAATGCAGTCGTTAAAGGCTAAGAAAAACAAATGAACCGATTACGTTATGCTAGATTGAGTGAAAGGGAAGTAAATAAAATACCTTTTTAATGAAGATGTGTTAAGATTAAAGAATGATAAGAGAGGTGTTGAAAATATAAGTAAGAGGTGGTGTAGAAGTCATCAGTTGGTTATATCTTAATACGATGAGGGAGGGAAAATGGCTGTACGAAATTCTTTTGAATGCTTAGTGTAGGTTTAGTAGTTCGAATGCCTATCGCCTCAGCTGTGTGCAGTAGACGAATATGAAGTCTATTGGAAAGATTCGGTGGGATAGGATGAATTACTTTGAAAGCTCTCGTTTTCTCCACTACATGACCGCTACCTACTAAATGTGACAAAATTGAGCTACGGATTATTTTTGTCTATCCTTTGCCAAACCACCATGACGGGAGATGTTCACAAACATTTTGGCCAAGCTGTCTAGTAGTACGCCCAATATAACTGTCACCTCAGGTGCAGTTGAATTGATAAATGCACATATATGTGGCAAAACTATCAAGCTTATCCTCCGTTTGCGTCCCAATCATTCGTCGACTAGAGAATGACAAACATATTAGTACTTATTATATTATTTATGAACGAAATGGGAATCTTCGTCTGTTTTGATGTAGTTGTCTGTTCTGAGCTGGATGGTTTACTTGCGAAGCTTTCATTGTCTTACCAGACTACTATCCTCAGCTCACACTTAAAATTGAAGAATGCGCTGAAGAAACCTTCCGGTGAGAGGATGAAAGCTTTGTAACTAATTCAGCGAGATCACTGAACATGACTACACAGAATTTAGCCACCTTAGTTTCTGAATTATACCTTCATCGATGCTTTAGTTTTTAAAGGCTACTTTCTATGCAAGCCTATGAACAAACACAGGATTGGCGAATAACACAGCTTAGGGTGGAACTTCAGCACAAACTCTGCTTGGAAATCCCCATTATCCTGATCAAAATGTGTGTGTGATCTACTTCACAGCATAAGCGATAATCAATCAGAGTAAGCATAAGAGCAAAATGGCACATACTACTGACCGACTGATATGAGTAGTCAGTTACTATTCATGTCAACCAGTTGTGTTTGCTAACTACACTGAAGCCATCTAAACTCCGAATGACCACTTTTAGTCGATTGGTGTTGAGCTTAACAGTAATGTAACCGGTTCAACTGAGATCAGAAATTTAGATCACTTGTCCTTGAAATAGTAAACTAGGGTCAGATGGATCTCTTTTGTCTTATATCTGAACGATTTATGTTTTAGAATAAATACAAACAAGAGGCAAATCATGTACTGATCAAATTGCAAGTCTACAAATCATCATCATCATCAAACAAAGCATTGGCTGACATTCAATTCTCCGACTCATTGTCATCGACTTTGAAAAGGTCTTCGTTAGCCTTGACCAAGAAGTTATTCGAAAACTTCATCGCTATATTGTGCAGTACCCCACATGGTTATCAACCTTATTCAACAGCTACATAACAGACAGTGCCACATGTCAGGTGATCGACAACAGTTAAACCCAGCGAAAACTTTGAATTGATTACAGGAATAAGACGAAATTGTCTACTATCAGAGGCTATGGTATTCTTAATTGTTATCGACTAGATTACGCGTGAAAGTACGCATGAGAGCAAGAACGCAAGAATACGTAGAACTGACGGAGAAGAAGATTCTAGAAGATCTGGATTTTAGGCGTGAATGATGCATGCTCGATGTCACACTTACTGGAAGACTTGCAGCCGAAAAGCAACAAACTGGTTGAAGAAGCAGCCAGTGAAGACAGGACTTCAGGTGAACATAGAGAAGACGCAGGTGATGAAGATAACCAACAGAAACAGCAACAACCAGCAGCAATCACCATCAGTGGAAGAGATTTGAAAGAGGTTATTTCCTTCACTTATCTAACCAGGAAGCATTATTTCAACCATAGGCAGTCGGAACAGGTGAAATGTCAAGGCCAGAATCGTAAAAGCCTGGCTGATCTTTATCAATCCGAAGTCCGTTTTGAAATCTTCTGCACTGCGCTGGGGAGCATAAAGGGAAAGATTCGGTTCTTCAACACCAATGATGGAATTCAGTCAGTTCTTTTATATGGGTCAGAAACGTGTACTGATCGTCAAGAAAAGCATTCCCAAGACAGTAAACGTTTATAAACAGCTGCCTTCGCTTCAGATTGAAGATCAAATAACCAGAGAGAACTAATTAACAACAAGAGACTCCGTCAACATGCCAACCAACAGTCGCTTACTCAAAAAATGTGCGGAATGTAATGAAGATGGATCGGGATTACGACCTTGGGGAGGGGATGCCGTCGAATGACATCGCGCTCCAGGCCCTCGAGCGTGACTAGAATGCGAAACAGTGAGTTCAGTGCGTGTCCAAGGGTGATGTGGAGAACATCGTACTAGGAAGTAGTGAGTAGTGAAGTAAAACTAAAAACCAAACCACAATGTAATAAGAAAGACACACCTATGGAATTACATATTTTATAAATTATGACTGTAATTAATTGTGTAAATAATTATACTTGTTAGTCTTAATATAATGATTTTCTATATAAACTAAAGTGAACTCTGTAACGGAAATGTTAGTTTGTGTATTTATTTATTTATTTAACGAAATTAATAATCTAAATAGGTGTGATGT